AATACTTTAGGGATGGTAGAATTATAAAGAAAAGCAAGGGAATGAAGGATATACAGATTAGGAGAGTAGTTCTTTCCTGATGAGGCTAGCAATCAGGTGGGCACAGGAGAGGCTCCGAATGTTCAATACGTCAACCTGTGTGGTGGGTTTCACAGGTATTTATTTCATTATTGTTTTTAACTGCACATATGTTTAACTGCGTATATGTGCTTATATGTTTCATTAGATATTTTGAACATGTGATACATTTCACAATTAAACCCCCCCAAAAAAGTTTGAATAAGAAAATAAAAGGATCACCTGGGGAACTTGTTAAGCAGGCAGAATCTCAGCTCCATTGTAATTCTGATTGGAGAGACCTAGTCAAGACCTGGGAATCCACGTTCTTCCATGATGCTGATGTAGGGGGTCAAAAGACCACATCTTGAGCCACCTGCCTGGCTTCAGAGCATGGTAGGCTTTGGCATCCGACTAACTGAAGTCAAGGCCCCAACTCGGTTGACTACTGGTTGTATGATATCAAGCAAGTTTTCTTTGTCTGGAAAATGAGAATGATAAATCATATACAAACAGTATATATTATTAGAGACAAATATAATATAAATATGAGAGACAAATGGCCAAAAACAGAGGTAAGTTCACAACTGTGAACTATCTCCATAGATTGGAATACTATGCAACCGTTATATACAAATTCATAAAAACATGGAAAAGTTATTTTGTAAATGAAAAAAAATAGCCAGATGGAGAATATATCTACCATATAATCAAAATAATGTGCAGAAAAAAATAAACCACAGTTTCCATAGAAAATAATGAAAAAATATGCCTCGGTGTTCAAACACAGGTTGTCTTCGGGGTGAGAGACGGATAATTTTCTTCCTCTTTTTACTTTTCTACATTTTCCAAATGTTCTATAGTGGGAATTTTTTTAAACCCCTCAATTTTTTAAAGTATATCCTTTGTTACGTTTTCAAATCGAAACTAAATTAAGGGCTCTGCTTCCAATAGGATTCACAGATGTGTATGGCCAGGATCCATCTGATCCAAGCCACACAGTCTTCTCACTTCACCACAGTCTGCCCCCAATCTTTATAATCCAGATGGTTAAACACTTTAGATCCCTACTCAAAATGCAGCCCAGGAACCATCAACATCAGCATCATTTGACCATGTGCCAGAAATGCAGGCTCTCACCCCACTTCCGCAAGAAAGGGAATTAGAACCTGCATTTTAACAAGATCCCCAGAGGCAAGGTTTTTAGAGATGTAACAAAATAAGAGACACTCTCTCTTTGACGGTTTAATTTGGATTGAAGCTAACTTGGATGACCAAGTTAAAACGAAGGGATCTCAGTCCCAACATTGCCTATGGGCCATCAAGCATGTTTGTCTACCGCTCTGCGCTTGTTTTCCTCATCTGGAAAAATGGGAATGATAAACTCAGCCTGGTGCCTAGCAAGTGCAGAGATGGAAGCAGGGGTGCAGTAAACCATTTTTTTAATAGGTCTAAAGTAATGCTTCTTGTCGGGTTTGTTTCAACAGGACTGGCACTCTGTGGCAGCTGGGGCTCCTGGCACAGTGTTTGGCTCACCCTAAGCCAGTGTGGGTTTAATAAACAACTAGCTCAGGTGACATCTACCAATTTTTTACGTGGATTGTCCCATTCTTTCAGTATATAATACTCAAAATTGCCAGTTTTCTCCCAACACTCAAAACTGTCCCAGCTCCCACCTCCGCCACTGAAGGAGGTGGGAGAAGTTGAAGGTCATAGATAAGCTTACCGTAAACCGTTCATACTAGAACTTCCTATACTGTGGGTTACGGACCGGCACGGCTCAAACCTGCATCTTCTCTACCTACCTCACCTAATGGTTACTCCGCCCACCGTTCTCCTTTAGCCACGCCCTCGGAGCCCGCCCCTCCCACCCGG